GAAATTAACACTGGAATGAAAATTTTACCAATAGATTCAACTCCGTTATCACTGACGCTTCCCGAATTGTTCCTGGTGATCATATTGACAAACTTCTTATAAGCATATGATACCACATGAAAAAATTTAATTACTACAGAAAAAAGTGATATCTCACTTGGGATCCAAATCTAAAGAAAGAACTATCCATCAAAAAGCTCATTCAAAATCAAACATCTGAAAAATGAAAAGCAAAAGGAGGACCTATATCAACAAAACCATAAATTATTCTTGTAATAAACCAATTATAAAATAAAATAAAATTACGCTTTCTAATGAAGACAAAGCTACAGCTTTTGAGGATCTAATTAACTTTTCGCAATTTCAGGATCTCTCCCTAGACCAGTACTTTCGAGAACATTTGGGCATGTTACGTAACCGCTCCGTAAATGAAGAATTCGCGCCATTTTGCGTTAAAAAAAGGACTGCTTTCTCCCTTTACTGCTGTTAAGACTTATGCTGCGTTCTTCTCATCTGCCTCCCTTTGTTTGAATAGTGTTTCGCAGTAAATTTAAAGTTAATACTATTTAGTTCAAATTACTATCGCATATGTAATCTTGAATGATCTGCCATTTGCCTTGAATTCTTTGCAAAAAAGTTAAATTCTTCTGTGTCTTCAGTTCTGATGTTTTCCACTTTCGCCACGACCATACGCGGACTCTGAAGTGACCAGATTTTTAAGATTCATCATTTCCAGTGCCTGCCTGTCAAAATATTACAACATATACATGAGCCGACTAGGATCTTCATAGTGCGGGGGAAAAGTTCCCTGGATTTGTTTATTAATTCCATGTGAGTCAAAGCAAAGAGCTTCTAACTTTCATCACTATGCCGTAAAGTGAGTCAAAGCCAGTCATATGGATAGTACTTTCATCATCTGCAGACAACTCAGTGATTCTTTTTGCTTGTGCTTTAATGCTCTAAAATTTTGACACGTTAAAAACTTTGTAGTGTGTGGATTATGAATACAAGAACCAAGACAGCCATGTCAACGAATATGGAGGAAATAGCCACTCTCGACAAACAAAATTCCAATTTGCTATTTTGGTGGATCCAAAAGTGATATTCCTGTGGATAAGTATATTCTACTATTTGAACAAAAATGAAACGCAAAAAATATTCAAGATGAGGACAAACCACTAGTATTCTGTGAGTGCTTGAGAGAAGAAGCACTCGCATACTTCTTTCGAGAGTGTTTAGAAAAAGACTGGGAAGCAGTAAAAAAAATTTCGAACTTACTTTTCCAGTGCAGAGGCAGTGAGATTTAACGATTTCATATGTGTCACTTACGAAAAATTTAATAGCATTGATCTGTATTTGAGAACCAAATTACGATATGGATCTAGTTTAAATTTAAATGATTCTACAATGGTTGAAGCCCTCAACCAAGGTCTTCCTGAAGCCCAGCGAATGTTACTAACGATTTAAACAATAAAAGCACCGAAAGACTGGATTGAGATAGCCAGAAAACTTTTCCCCATTTCAATGCCACTAGACGGAGTACCAAGTACAAGAAGTGATTACATATTTGTTGCTCCGAGGCAAACTCTACCTAAGTATTCTGTTCGGCCATTTCAACCAAATCAGTATAGGCCCCGGTCTTTTCAATATCCGTACAAACCGCTTAGTTATCAATCAGTACCTTCTTTAAGCTACTGTTAAGCAAAAAATGAACATAAAAAAATGTTTCTATTTTATAGTTAATGTCCGAATTGGACAACAAAATGTACCAGGAATTATTTATACTGGTTCCCAGGCCAGGTAAATGTTCTTCCATAGAATATTTTTAAGGGCAATGATAAAAAATTTTAAGAAATCGAAAATAAATCTAATAGCAAATTATTTTCTCTATCTAATCAAATTCATGCAGAAAACATTATTAAAATATCATGTAAAATAGGTAAACTCAAAAATGATGTAATATTTTATGTGGTACATTCTAATTTAAATTACTTATTATTATCCTCATCTTGTGTTTCACTGTTCAAATTACAACTGAATTTTCATAATTATCAAGTTTATCAGTTTAGAAAGCAGGTGAGTAAAAATGTTAAATTAGATAAGTTTTTTCAAAATAATTTTGTATGTAAATCTGATATAAGTAAAAAATCTGGTAAATATTTTGAAAATAGTGAAAATTTTGTATGTAAAAGTGATATTAGTATTAAAAAGTCTAGTAATTGCTTTGAAAATAGTGAAATTTCTGATAGTAAATTACAAAACTTGTTGAAGAGTTATAATCATATATTTGCTAAAAGTAAATATGATGTTGGTTGTATTAAGATTGAATTCCCCACAGTTGTATTAACTTCTGAATTACCAATAGCTTATAGACCATATCGAGCATCTCCTAAAGATAATAGTGAAATTAAGAAGCAAATAGATGAGTTGTTAAATGCTGGTATAATTAAACCTTCTTATAGTCCTTATGCTGCTCCTGTAACTTTAGCTTATAAGCGTGATGAACAGGTAAATTGTGTATTGATTACAGAAAGCTTAATCAAATTACAAAAGCTGATTCTCAGCCCATTCCTAGAACTGATACTGTCTTAGATCAATTAACAAATGCAAAAATTCTCTCTACGTTGGATTTAGCATCAAGCTATTGGCATATAAAACTAAATGAAAAAGATACTGAAAAATTAGCATTTACTACAAATTTTGGACTTTATGAGTTTACTAGACTACCTTTTGGTTGGAAATATTCCCCAGCTGTTTTTCAAAGAGCTCTTAGACAAATCTCAGATTTAATTTGCTTTAAATTATTTTGATGATATTATAGTAGTCTATCCAAATTTTTGTGAACATTTAAACCATCTTAAGATAATACTTGATATATGTGGGAGAGAAAATATAAAATTAAAACAATCTAAATGTAATTTTGCTATAGAAAAAAATAAATTTTCTAGGATATGAAATTCAAGCAGGTAAATACTAGCCCAGTAATGCAAATATAGAGGTTATTAAGAAATTGCAACCCCCTAAAAACATTAAAAAGTTGCAAAGATTTTTAGGGAGTATTAATGTATATCATAAATTTATTCAAAATTATGCTAAAATTAGAGCTCCTCTAACAAATTTACTTAAGAAAGATACCTCCTATAAATGGACTGAGGAATATCAAATAGCTTTTCAAAAATTAAAAGATACATTAATTTCTAGGCCTATTTTAAGTTTGTTTAATCCTAAATATCCTTGTCATGTATTTGTTGATGCATCTAAAGAAGCTGATGGTGCTGTTTTAAAACAAGAACATCCTGATGGTAATTTACATCCAATTGCTTTTCATTCTAGAAAATTAATATCTTATGAACAAAATTATGCAATTACTGAGCTGGAATTTTATCTATTATCGATGCAATTGATAAATTTTATTATTATTTACATGGTAATTATTTTACTGTACATACTAACCATGCTGCCCTAGTTTGGCTTAAAAATATAAAACATCCTACAGGTCGCTTATTTAGATGGTCTTAAAAATTAACTATGTATTATTTTGATATAAAGTGTAAAAAGGGATTCCCTAATGTTGAAGCTGACAAGCTATCTAGAAATCCTATTTGTCAGCATTTAAGATTGCAAGTTAATTTATTATCGTTAGAAGAAATAAAAAAAATATCAAAATTCAGATAATGTTTACAATCCTAAGTCTAAGAAAGTAAATGATGTATTAACTGTTAAAAAACGAGGACTGTATAAAATTGTAATTCCAATGTCTCTTCGTACTAAGTTACTTGAAAAAGCGCATCTACAATTTGGTCATATTGGCGTGTCCTCAATGCTAAATTTATTATCTCCTCAATATTATTGGCCAGCAATTTTTCAAGATGTTAGAAAATATTGCAAGCATTGTGAAGTATGTCAGTTCAATAAGAAAAGTAAACAAAAGAAAGTTACCATCGATCAGTGAACCTTTTGAAATATTGTCTATTCATACAGTTGGTGATGGATACTGTTGGATACATGCTATAGCTTTGGTAAGTCGAAATAATCCAATAAAAATAGAACAGTTAGCATCAAATGCTTTATTTCTATCGCGAAACACTCGAGGTTTTCGCAAATCTTAAGAAATTAAGATATCTATTACGTACACTTCTAAAAACTATCCGTGACCTCCGCCACCTTCAGTTTAGCTCTATCGAAAATCGGAGATCATCATTCGTTAAGTGGTGTTCGACCCGAAGGTCTTTACCATTAGATGTTTACCAATCTCTAAGGACATGTAAAAGTTCGTAAAATTCCATAAAAATGGAGAAGTCTTCAGTAGTGAAGATCAGGGTGTTCAGTTGATCAGGGTGACGCCATTAAACGGCAGCTACCAACACCGACTCTACTGCAGCTACACAGCTGACGGAAAAATCTCCGACGCGACGATCTCTGTAATGGTCGAGACGATGACACCAGACTCGCTCTCTGTCGAGTAGATAGGAAAAAACGACCGGTTTTTCCATCTCGACGGTGTCCAGACTCAAGGTTTCTAAAATATCCTAAATCAGTGGTTTTACTGATCTTGATCCCCTTAGACAGATAGATAGATTTAACCTTATATTTATCAAGGATCATGGAAGGGTTCAATTACGAGCCTCATAGGCTTAATGCTTTTATCCTTTTCATCATCAAACATTAAATAATTATCATCAAAAAGAGGGTTCGGCAAAGAGGTAAAATTTAGGTTTTATCAAGTATAATAAATAATTATTGTCTTTAAATTCAGTTCTCTTCAATAACTACATTTAGCCGATTTCTGTTTATAACTTTTTGGCATTTTTTGAAGTAAAAATGCTAACGTATTTTGAACATTCTAACCTACTTTTTTTCTGATTTATTTAATTAATTTTAAAAATCGAATTTTAGGATTATTGGGATATTTTTAATTTTCACATGCATAGAAGAAGAAAGGTTGCTATATGACGCTAAAAATTTTATTTTTATCCTATGATGTCATACAGCATGACTCATCTTTCGGGAACTACGAGCTGAGAACCATGATTGTAGTTTCTGTATTTCATGAAAGCTTTTTTTAAGTTTGCATAGTGAGGAAAACTAAACTGTGATATTATCCTATGTATTCTCAAGGTAATGAGAAAAGTTTATCCGATCGTTTGTCCGTAGCTGATATTTTGTCATCTATGGCTAATGGTGCTGATGAATCACCTACTTCTGTTACAGTAAGTTTGACATACTGCATGCCCTACTGTGGGAAACGAAAGCGACCGCTAGATACCGTAATGTAGTTTTTAGTTGTTGCATGCGTTTATGTCATATTTATATGCAGTCATATACAGTATGAAGTTGTTTTGATGGTTCTGCTCTGCTTTGCAGAAATTAATTCATTGTGTATCTCAAACCTGTGCAGCACCCATTGCGTTGATAGCATCTGCTATGATCATGTTTATTAAATTGCATACTATGAATTATGAAAATGTGAATAGTTGTGGTTAGTTTGCATATATGAAACTAAAATGTAATTTTTAAGTGAATATACGAAATTTCTATTCGTTTACTATTTATAATCCTTTTAATTATATATTACTATGTTAGATTTGGCATTTTGTTAATTTTGTCACTTGTTTAATTATGTGTGTAGTATAATTTTAGGTTTAGAATGGATAATGTTCACATTATTAATTCCTTATATATAAATATAGGACATTTCTTTGGTTATTGAGCTGTTTGATACAATTAATCAAAAAATGGCATTCACTAAGAATTTAACCTGTCCATATATAATAGAGTGAATCATACTATTGGGTTGGTAACTAAGTAATTGCGGATTTCACTCATAGATGGCTTCAGTTGAATTTTTAGGATTGCAGACATAGTACAAATGTAAAACACATTTTGTTATTTGATAGTTGGCAATTCAGTTGTCACTCGGTAAAAAAAAGTTTTTTGATCGGTTGCTTAGTTTTCGTATGGCGTTCGTTGAAAAATGGAAAATCAAAAGGAACATTTTCGTCATATTTTGCTTTTTTATTTCTGCAAAGGGAAAAACGCATCACAAGCTCATAAAAAGTTACGTGCTGTTTATGGTGACGAAGACTTAAAAGAATGGCAGTGTCAAAATTGGTTTGCCAAATTTCGTTCTGGTGATTTTTCATTCAAAGATGAAAAACGCTCTGGTCGTCCAGTTGAAGTTGATGACGACCTAATCAAAGCAATAATCGATTCGGATCGTCACAGTACAACACGTGAGATTGCAGAGAAGCTTCATGTATCACATACATGCATTGAAAATCACTTAAAACAACAGGCTATGTTCAAAAACTCGATACGTGGGTTCCTCATGAACTGAAAGAAACGCATTTAACGCAAAGCATTGACAATTTCAAAAATGAATTAATCCTATTTAGGTATTTTTGTATAGTTTGGTCGAAATATTTTTCATTAATAAAGAAATGCGAATAACAGTATGATGCAATTATTATCAAAATGAATAATAATATAGATTTTTGCAAGGCAGTGATTGATTTTTACTATAATAAAAATATGTAGAGTGCTTCTGAAAATGTAGCTGGAAAAAAGTGCATAATATGCAATTGAGAACAAAGAAAAATTACCTTTCAGCAATAAAATGCATAATAATGTGTATGTGTTTATCACTGTTTAATTGAATTTGAAAATTGTGTATCTTTTGGGCTATATGCTGCATATGATAAAAAATAATTTATTAAACATTTTAAGAATGCACTTCATATCTTAAAGATAATATCTAATTTGATTTTGTCCTGAAAATGGCAGTAGAGAAATATTGCAGGAAATCTGAAACACCACATCTATATTTGTTCCATTAGCACATATGTTAGCTCCTGTGTTTAGAAACCACAGTCATCTTGCTACAGTGGCTCACACTTGTTCTTGGACAATATCATTGACTAAATATTATTGAAATAACTATTTTTTTTCATGTATACAATAAATCATCTGGTTTAAAACCTGCTTGCTTTGAGTCATTCAAACATTTTTGATTTAAAAAAAAAAAAAAATTTAGGAAGTTTTGAAAATAAACTTGCATAATTATTCAGACACACTTAGCAAACATTTTGTATTTAATAAAAACATGAAAGTAGTGGGACATTCAGTATTTTTAGGGTTTCCTTTTACATTTTTCATGTACTTTGGCATGGATTCAACTATTTTTTTTTTTTTTTTGGTAAAGTGCAAAATCGCCCACTTATTTTTTGGCACTTTTTACAAGAGTAAGAAGAATTGGATTTTTGTCGTTTTTCTTTGACTTTTTAAGTGAAAAATTGGTCGATGTGTACATGGATGAAGTCGAGGAAGTGCGCAGTGCCATTTTTGTGAAATTCTGGGAATTTTTTTTAAGTGAGTATAGGTCGATGTGTACATGGATACAGAGTTTGTGCAATTCTTAAAAACGCGCCAAGAAGTGGGCGGTTCTGCACTTTCCCCATTTTTTTATTTAAGAATATTTTATTTTGTACTCTTCTCCTGTATAAATTGCTTTTTATAGAGCATTCGAAGAAATGCCATATTTTCCTTTTGTTTCTCCATCTTGCTCCATATATGTTTGATAAGATTTAAGTACGGAGAATACTGAGGAGTTTTTGCAACTTCAGGGCAGCTGTTTAATAACCACAAGCAAACAAATAAGGCTGTGTGTTTAGGATTGTTAATCTTTATGGAACTTGAATATGTTTTGCAATCCAAGTTATTTTGCACTTGCTGTCAGGTTACTTTAGTGAAAATTACAGGTTTAATGAGAGGAAAAACGTGTTTTTATGTGATAGTAAGAATTTAAGATGTAAAAATTTATAGCTCTCAATTATCTCTTCTTCCAGGAAAGTTGGGCAATTTTGTGAATTGGGGGAAAATTTTTGTTTAGCTGTCCTTATAATTCATAAGCATTGTACTGTTCACAGATTAAAAAAAAGAATGCTAAAAGCTTTTGTAAGGAATGCCAATCGCTGATATTTAGATTTTTTACAGCCCATACCATTGAATATAAAATGTGTAAATGCACGTGTTAAGTTGGGTATTATTGGGCGTGTATACACAAAAGAATCATTTCTATCAAATGTTGAAACCATGGGATGCAGATAATTAGAAAGTATAACATTTTTTATTGTTTGTTAAATTTTAAATTTCATTCCTTGCAGCAATGGTGCAAAACAATTAATTTAATTTGTATTTATTCTTTTGAAAAAAATTTTTTATTGGATGGTTTATTAATTTATAAGGTATATTTTAATTTTGAAACCCTTTGCTATCAATTCTTGTGTTCACTTACAACTCCTACCAGAATGTGTTTTTATGATCGCATCTAGTGCAAATGAGTTAGAAAAAATATTTACAGAAGGTTCAACTTACTTCTATAGAGAGTACTAGGAATCTTTAGTAGCATGTGTCTGCCTTCTGACTCAGCCACTCTTGAAGCTGTTATGCTTGGCCATATTTTATGTGCCTTTTGATATCCACCAGCTACATTGGATAGTTGTGTCTAGCTTCGTCTAAGTCTCGTTTAGTTTCTTATCCTGAGTTAAAGCTCGAGTATAGGCTTCTTGTAAGCTTGAGAAGAGGCCGGCTGTTACTCTAAGTAAATAAAAGGGTAATTTAACTCTTCTCGAGTCTATGTCTTAGTTGTTCTGAGTTCACTAGGTTCCTCAAAGTTAAGCTTAGACAAAAGGAGTTAGGAACTCTACAGATTATCTATCAGTTTTATGATTATTATTATGACAAATAATGTAAATGTGTGTAATCAAACATGGAACTCGATGACAAAGATTTTCTTTTGAATGTGCAATTTAAAACTCCTGCTGTAGTTCAATTTGATTTCTTTTTGTTCCACATGAAGATGATTTGGCTGATCTTTAGAATATGGTAACTGGTAGTTTGGCGACATTTTGGAGGTGATAAAGGTTACTACCTGGGACTTTATAATAATAATAAAACTTTTAAAAATAATGTGAGCAGTACTCAGTTCCGATTACGCATTATTTTGTGTGAGGGAAATGAGAGATCATGGGATATATTGTGATATTAATGGACGAATTACGGTTCTTTAATCGGAAAAGGGGGGGATTTGGAAAAATATCTGTGGCTGTATATTATTTTGTATTAAGCTTCATTGTGTGTTGTGCGAAGTAGGGTTGAATAATTTTTGGGATTGTATGGCGCTGTCTAAAGTGAATTCTAGATTTTTAATGCGTTTGTGTGATAATTCAAAAGAATTGGTTGAATGGTGCATACGAGTGTAGGTTTAATTGCGGATAAGTATGAATGTCCAAAATGTGGGAATGAAATGAGATTGTGTGAAAGGAAGGATATTACTGATAAGTTTGAATGGCGGTGCAAGAAATCTGGTGAAAATGGACATTTTGTGAAACGGAGTGTAAGGAAGGGTACCGTGGTTTGCTGAAAGTTGTTTGAGTATGGGTGAAGATTTTATTTGATTTCTTATTATTGGGTGAATAGATTGCCAGTTGACTATTGGATTTCGGATTTAGAAATTAGCAGTAGGACTGCAGCTGATTGGAATTCTTTTTGTAGGGAAGTGTGTGTGGAATTTTGCGAAAATGATATGGGTATGCTTGGTGGTATGAATGTTATTGTGGAAATTGATGAGAGTAAGTTTGGGAAGCGGAAGTATCAGAGAGGTAGGAGAGTGGAAGAAAATTGGTGTTTGGTGGGATTGAAAGGGGTAGTAATAAATGTTTTTTTAAGGTTGTGCGAGATAGAAGTAAAGATTTCTTATTAAGTTTTATTAAACAGTATATTCTACTGAGTACAATAATCATATCTGATTGCTGGAAATCATATGCATGTTTGGAAGATGAAGGTTTTTCAACATCTTGCTGTGAACCATAAATATTATTTTAAAGCTCCTGAAACAGGTGCACATACGAATACAATAGAGGGCATGTGGAGTGCTATAAAAAGCGCCATTCCAAGGCATTGTGATAAAAAAGAATTTTGCTTTTTATTTAGTGGAGGAAAAATTCGCAGAAAAAATCGTTCAATAATTTTATTGAATCCATAATAAAAGTGTAATTCTGGGATGTTTTTTTAAGTAAAAATAAGTCGACGTGTACATGGGTGTATGTGTTATTTTGAAAAACGCGTAAGGAGTATGGTATTGTGCACTTTTTCCCAATTTTGCAGTGAATATTTGTCATGATTAAGCAGTTTCGTTAGATAAAATTTCTAGCATAAGTGTAATTCGGCTAGTAGATTGTTGGAAGAAGTGTTCAGTAGATAAAAAGAAAAGAAAGATGTCTTTACTTCGTGAAGACAAAATGGCGGCGGGAAAAAAAAAATAGAGGGTTGCTGTAGGAGAGTTGATCGCCAAAAAATCGCCAAGTTACCATAATCTAAAGATCAACCAATGATTTGCTATTAAAATTTTATATACTGATACTTGAAGCTTTTTGTAATTTTTAATGCAGCATTTTTTTTCCTGTGTAGCTTTATTTGACAGTATATTACTGTGTTCATTAACTGTAAATGTCGAAATAATGAGCATATTTTATTATCTGTTATTGTATAATGTAGCCTATTTATGCTAAATTTTTAAAATTAGTATTCTCTTTTTCAGTGTTCCAGCATTGAAGGTTTGACATGTGGAATACCAACTCGTACTACACCTACATTGACTCCAACAACTTTAAAGAACATTGAAGAATCTTTTATGGAATTACATTCTATACCTCCTGCACCATTGGAGCATCAACGTCAAGCAGGTTTTGCACCTCCTGTTATTTCTTTTACTGGACTGCCAAAGCCGGAAGAAAGCCGATGGGTTGACGAATGCTTGCATTCTTCAGATAGATCTTTAGATTCACCTCGTCCACCATCTGAAAGTTCAACTAGTTCTCGCCCTTCTAAAACAGGCCGCAGTGGTGGCAGAAGACCACTGAAAGATGAAAAGGTTGTATGTTTTCTCTTAACTCTTCATTTCTCAGTTAAATTTAAGCTAATCTAGGAGTACTTTCATTAATTTAAAAAGAAAAAAAATCTTATTAGAACTTTATTAGAAGTACTTTCTGGTTATCTGCACACCCCTGAAAAATATTAATGAAACAGTGTGCTGTGTCACCAGAATGACCCACCAAAATGTATTTATGTGGCATATATGCACATGCAGCAGATAGGAGATCATTTCCCTCTTCAGATTCAATTATAAATATAGCTTTCTGCCCTGGGGTAGAGAATACAATGCATGTAAGGAGCTTTAGCCAGCAGGATTTTGCAAATGATAAAAGTATACGTACTGATGCTGAATTTGTACAGTTCTCTGATGTCTTTTAAGCGAAAACAGATTGTGGTGTTTATGATAGAAAAGCAACAGCATGAACTATGACAGATTTTCTATTTCTTTGATTTTTTTTCAAAGTGAAAGCAGATTGCTGTGTACAACACGAGGGAAAATACAGCATTAAAAAAAAAGGGGGGTTGTAACAGATGTTTCTTGTCTTTTGTTCATTTTTGTTGATTCACTGCTCTTTTATGGAATTCTTAGTTATGTCACCTTTTTCAAAATCATTTCTCCCTTTCACATATCAGTTTGGTGAAAAAAGTCATCAACAGCTGGTGATTTTTGAGAAGAGGGTGGAGATAAAGTACCAAAAATTTAATTCATTGTAAAGAATTATAAAATATGTTATTCATTGATTGGGGGAAAAGGCATTGTAATGCTTGTGTAAAAATGTATGTTGCAAGATGAAAAATAACTATTTTATTACAGAAAAAAGTTTTCTGTATGAAAGTAGTTTTTATGTTAGGTATGGCATTTAACTCTTTGACGATTACTAACGGGACATATATGTCCCACTAAAAGTCTAAAAATTACAGCTGGTTTAAAATGTACTTAGAAACTCGCTGAAATGTATCCCAGTCGTGGAATCAAAGCAGTTGTGCATGTTTCATCTTTCGTTACCCAGTTACCACTAAATATTTTCGCTCCAAATGCCATTAAAGAAAATTTTTTTTTTAATTCAAAGAGTGAATGAAATACAATACGGATAGCCGAGCAGAAGTTGATTTCATGTGAAGGAAACATTCTGGTGTACAATTTGGATTTACCTGAGGCATTAGATTACTTAATAGTGACCTGCAATGCATATAGGAATGATGCTGGGAATTGTTGCCGCTCAGTGCTATCTCTGCATATCCTAAATTGCACCTCCCTGAAATCTGTAAATTTTACAACATGTAAATTCTGCTGCTTAGTGTCTCTTATAAATTTTACAAATTTACGATCCCTAAAAATTGTTGCCCGTTACCTTTATACTCTACTATCTGTTAACCCTTTCTATTCTAATGGGCACATACGTCCCAGAGATTAGATTCCATGCCCTATTGGAAAATAAAACCCAATATAAATGGGTTTTTTGAAGTGTTATTAAGGAATTGGGGGAATAAATATATAACCTGGCAATACTTTTAGATTGCAGATGTTTTTGAGCACGCTGATAACTCAAGTTTCAGTTTTTATTTTTTTTTAATTTACAGTAAATACAATTATATTTAAGGCATATTTAGTATAAAATAGTTCTTATTAAGTAGTAATTTAACATTTTTAATGTCAGATTTAAGAAATTTTGAATAAATTCTTTTTGTGGGATATATTGTCCCAATTGTATTTAACAGTGAGTTAATATGTTCCACCAGTGATCAAATTGCTACATGCTGATATATTATGTTTGTGTTTATAAAACATGTATGAAAATTTTTGTTATATATATGAACTAGTGCATGTGACAGTTTACTTTATTAATATTTAAATTATATATTATCATAAATTTTAGTTATAAGTATTTGCTTTTATGAAAGATAAAAAATCTGTACTTTTTCTGGTTGACAAAATAAACTAAAAATAATTTTTTGCTTTTATTAAAAAAAATGTACTGAAAAGGGAAGTGCGGTTTGGCATTTGTTTTATGCAGTGATTGCTGAAAAATATGATTAATTATAGTAAAGCCTGTGAGTTTAAGGCAGTTTGAAGGATGAAACATAAAGCAAAAAAATTTTGCTTGAAGACTGCACATGCACCTTCTGAAAGCTGCCTGTGTATGTTTGACATATACCACAGTCTGAGAATCACTGCTTTAGTATAATTTATGTCCATGTAATATGAAGTTTCTTTTTGCTGCATTAGTTATTAATAGTTGTTTCTGTGGAGTAAAAAAATATTGAATTGTATAATGTATCAAAAAAAAAAAAAAAAAAGGCAATGTTTCACTTATATAGAAAATGGTATAGTCATTTGGTTTGTTAAAGTAGGAAGCATAAAAAGTGCAATGCCATAGCCAGGATTCAAATACTGGACCTTCTGATTGCCAACTGTACATGCTTCCAGTTATACCATAATCTCTTGTAAGAAGCGAGGAAATAAAAAATGTTTCACTTAACCTGGGAGTAGTCACTCTGTTGCCAAATCTGGTGGACAAATCATCGTCCACCACATTTTAGTTTGGATACCATTGTAGAGTGATGAGGTTTATCGGAGTAGGGAAAAAGCACAGTGCCTTTGTTGAGATTTGCACTCTGGATCTCTTGATTGCCTGCCAGAACTGCTTCCAGTAATATCACAGAGGGATATGGTAAGGAGAGTGACGATACCATATAATGTGATCTTTTATGTTTTCAAAATTGTAAAAACAGCCTTGTATTTAGCGTAAGTATATTGAAACACTTAGTCGATTTCGAGGGCAGCTAAATGTCCCTCCTCATCAGGAAAAAGAAATACCTAGAAAGAAGAAAAATAAAGGGGAAGGAGTCTCAGAAACACGTGGTCCTTATCAGCACTGCACATATTTATAACCGGATTTTTAATCAGAGTTACACTGGCTGCCTACTTTTACTGAGCCAGGCTATCTGATCAAACATGTAACACAAAGGACAAGAAAAATTAGCGAGTTAAAATAGGGAGCGAGGGGCACCTTCACGCTCAAAATCTGAACTTCGAATAATGGAAAGCAACCACTAAATGGATTTTTATACCCTCTGGTGGTACCAAATGCGAGAAGGTAATGCCATCTATCGGCAAAAATAACTGAATTAAGATAGTAGGAAGGACTGGATTGGACTTCAAATCATTAACTAAACATGCTAAATCTTTGTGAATATGAAAAGCCTCAAGAAAATCCAATTCACCTATGGAAGAAGCCTTTTGGATAATTTTTGCAGACCCAAAGTCAAAATGGTTAAATGTCCAACTATGATACACTATTGAAGACTTGTTAAATTCGCCTTTTCTGACATAGGATTCATGTTCCTTGATATGAAACTTCATTGCTCTTTTTGTTTGGCCAATATATCTCAAACCACACTGACACGATATACTATAAATTCCCCAAGAATTCAAGACAGAAATGCAATCTTTTAGAATTGAAGGGTGAATTTTATTAATAGGGGAGAAACTGACTTGAAAATTGACTTTCTGGAGAATCCGTGCAATTTTATAGCTAATAGAAGGATAAAATGGAAGCACGACATTCTAGGTATTTCTTTCTCCTGATGAGGAGGGACCTTTAGCTGCCCTCGAAATCGATTGAGTGTTTCAATATACTTATGCTAAATACAAGATTGTTTTTACGATTTTGATCGTCACATTAGCGTGTTTCTCTTCTAGTCTACTTTTATGTTTTCCTTCTTTACATTTATCGGTAGCAGATAAAGTTTTCCAGAAATATATTCTCTCATTGGCAAGTATTTAACCAGTTTGTACGACATTGAAAATATTTATTGTTCCTGTTCATGGTTAAATGACAACATCCCTTAGAATATTAAGATTTAATTTTGTGCATCATCTATAGCGAGATTGAGTTTGCTTTTTATTTTCTGCACAGAATTAGGATGTGTATGCCTTGTGTGGCAAAAAAAAAAAAAAAAAAAAAAAAAAAAAAAAAAAAAAAAACTGTATATGTTGATAATTTAAAAATAGTTTTTGAATATATTGTTTTCTACAGCTGATTTTTGATTAGTATTCTGTTAGCATTTATGCATGTTATTATACTGTGAATGAATGTCACAGTGGTTAAAAATTTTTTTTGTACTGATACATAAAAAAATAAGTAATTTTTTTAATAATTTATAATTGAAACATATTCATTATATTGGTAATACTAATGTGTATTTAAAAATATGTGGTTTTTATGATTAGTGTAATGAGTAAGTTACAAACTTAGCATAAATGTATAGCTATGAATGCAGTTAACAGTATTGTAATATATTTTTTTAATTTCTTCTAGTTTATTGACATAAATTTATGATTTTTATATAATTTATTACAGTTGAGCCCTGAAGAGGAAGAGAGGAGACGAATTAGAAGGGAAAGAAACAAATTGGCTGCAGCTCGGTGTCGAAAGAGGCGCATGGAGCTTACGAGTAATTTAATGAATGTATGTTAAGAATCCTATGAATGTTTTAATTACTCTTATACTCAAAAAGTAAATGGAGAATGCTTATTGGTCATTTCTGTTTGAAATGAATAAAGTATATTTCGTACCTTATTACCTTAGAAGTAACATCTGTAAGAATGCAAGCAATCGTTCTGTTTCTCTTGACCTGTCCTTCTGTATTGATGTTTCCAGGAGCAATTTAGGTATCTGCCGAAGACCGGATATCATGAGATTCTAGATATCTTGAATTGTATGAAGATATTTTTTCCAGGAGCAGCTTAAGTGCTGTCTATCATAGATTCAACATCAGATTTTGGATAACTTAAACTGTATGAAAATACCGTCTTTCTCAAACTATTTTGATAAGAAAGATCATCAGGGCAAAGTATGAGAAATCTGGAAAATAATGTGGTTTTGCATGACAGAGATCTGTATAAAAGAAACCAAAGCTTCTTAAACATCTTTTCTAAAGATGTAATAGTTTCCCAAATGGATGAAAGACCTGGTTTGCATTAGACATTTCTCCACCTGGTAGAATCTGTTAAGAGTCTAAAATTTTGCTGTCCACTGCTTCTTTGAATTTTAAAAAATTTGCTGTCCCTAAATTCTGCCACACAGTGCAACCTCACCAGTTGTGCTGGCCTTGGCGTTTTGACATAAACTCTATTATCCAGAGTATTTACTCTGGATAATAGAGTTTATGTAGTTACTTATACATTTCTTCTATGGAAAATATACTAAATATCCTCTAACAGCCCTTTTGAATAGCGAGATATTTTGGTGAGTTGCTGATGATAATTATCTTAAGTAATCTATGTATAAGCTGTGAAAAGTTATTAAATGTTAATTTTGTGAGGTGTAAAAATTGAAGTAATCGTAGATTCCCTCTTTTAATAAAATGTTAGTTTGGAATGATTGAAGATTTACAAGACCAGGGGAAAGAGATAGTGTTGATTTTTCTTAACTGTTTGTTAATATTTTATAAAATGGAATGTACTTCTGAGCCCGCTGAATAGGATGGCTTTCTGGATCTGCCAATGAAAACCTGTATTTTAGTCTGTTTTCATAAACTTCCATTCATTAAAATATTTACATTATTAAAGAAACTAAGAAAGTAAAACATTTAAAATTATAATCAAATACAGTCAAACCTCACTTAATGAGCATCCCTGAACAAAATGTAATAAAATGACTTCTTTAATGAGAGGTATTTCACAGAATGTGTGATATGGAGGCAAATTGATGTTAGTCAAATACCAAATCATCGAGACATGAGAATGAGATGTGAGCATGGCTGACCTAACACATATATGTAATCAGTATATATCAAGGATTTGCTCTATCCTTAAGGTTAGGATTAAGGAAGTGGGGGCTTCAAAGGATGTTGCAACAATATCTACTCGACGACCATATATTTTCAACAATAGCAAGGAGTGCAAGAATGCACCTGTTGATGGCAAGAGCCTTGAGCGCCATACAGGTGACGGTGTGATTTTGCTCATTTCCGACCCCAATTTTGATGGAGAGCGTTCTGGGGGGGGAATGGGTCTGAGGGTCTCCCACCACTCTTTCCCTACCACCCACCTCTCAAGAGGACTTCTGATTCGCCTTGTATTTAAAATGCCACACTGACACTCTGCACTTAAAACATCCATGCCTCCTTCAGTATTCGAACCTAGGCCCTTCAGTACCTCAGTAGGCTGCCCTAACCACTATACTGTCTGGATGCAATTTTATTTTAATCCCCTGAGAGTTATAGATGTAAAGTTTCATATTGAAGAGAGATGTTAAGAGCATGGGGAAGTATTGCATTGTACAATGAGTTACCCTAACTTACTGCCTAGTAGCTGCTGCCGAATTTCACATTACAAGTAAGAGTTGGGAACAAATTATGCTTGTTAAATGAGGTTTCACTGTCTGTATATACCAAGTTAGAAAAGAATCTCATGACCAAATAAAGGACTTAATGCCCCTCAGGGGGTTGTTAAACAAATCTCAGTGCAATAAAATGGACAGATCATTCTTAGTGTAATGAGCTGTTTAATTAGAACCTCACTATGCCTAGGAAATCCTCACTTCAAAGAATTTCTCAAAGTTTAAAAATAAATAAATAAAAATAAAACACATAAAGGAAGAAATAACGCCTTGAATAACATATCTTCAAATATGTGAAAAGGTATGTTTGAACTTTGTGAAATGTTAAAGTAACTTCTTAAGAAGTAACTGAAAATGAATTAAATTTGGGAGAGCTTAGGTCGAAATATTGTAGTTGTAAAAGATATTGTTTAAAATAAATTTCTGCAACTCAACCATTGGCTTAATATAAAGCCATGATGTAGGTCAGATTTTGAGGAATTAATAGTGTGCATAAATAGGAATTTAATAGAAAACTTGAGCTTTAAATGAAATGTCTGTAAAAAGATTAGTGTTGCATTCTAGTTTTCAAAATACTATTCTTCCCGAGAATCTTTCACAGAAGTATTATTTAGACTAAACTCTGGGTTTAATAATCTCATTATAAAATTCCAAAAGGAATTACATCACATTTATTATTCTATTTAGCTGATGAAATATATAGCTTGTCTTGAACTGGAAAATAATAAATGTTATATTACTCTTATGAAACTAGAAATATGCTGAGTTACTTGAATGAGCTTAGAGGAAAAAGATCATTACAGCAGGAACCACAGTTCTGTGGGACTGGCTAATATAAATTTAAAACCTGGAATTTGCTCTAAAGAAAATTTAAAGAAATATAAAACGGCTTCTTAACGAAAAGTTACTTTGAACCATTTTATGACAACTGCCTCTGAAATTGGGTAGCATTCCTTAAAACATAATTAAATAAATGATATTGAACACAATGTGCCTGAGACTTTCCTACACAGAAGATCAAAGTCATTTGTTCAATATATAGGCTCACCAGCGGCCAAGCGGTAAAATCGCTGAACACTGGTAGTTCGGTCCGAGGTTCGAATCCTGTGAACAGGCTGGCTGCATGGGCGTTTTCGTGGTTTTCCCCATGTGTAACGTGTATACGAGCCAGTTTCCCTTAGAAAGTCCTTCACGAAGGCATCCCTTCCCTTAGGCAGATAGTCCTAGTGTGCTTTGCCATATTCTCAATACATCTGTTCAATATATATGTTCTGTAAAATTTTTGTGCTTTAATCAGAAAAAAGTAAATTTAAATACATATTCATTATTTTGATGCATTTTTTCCCATTTATTTTTAGGAAACTGATGGCCTTGAAGAGAAAAGACAAATTCTTCAACATGAAATTGCTTTGCTCACATCCCAGAAGGAAGAACTTGAATTTCTTCTTGAAGCTCATAAAGCAACATGCAAATTGACAAATCAACATTCTCACCAGTCAAAAAATAAACCTCTTGATACAAAGCCTTCATTAAATAGGCCGAAAACATACCCCCGTCCGGATTCATTGCCTTTATCTTCTAGCTACAATAATCCAGACGGATGCAATTCTCTGAAGCCATCTCCTGATCTGTCAAATATTAGTGGTTTGAACACTTCTTTAAATACACCTTCAACTGCTATGTTTGCATTTGAATCTCTTTTGGATGGGAGTGGAAACACTCCAGTCTCCAGCAGTGGCTTACCTTGTGTGATATCATCATGTGGTGGTCAACAACGAAGTTCAAGCAGTGATTTGTCTAGTCCAGATTCAATTGCTCCACCTAAGCTTGTTTCTTTGTGATGTGATTATTTTTTATGGCATTTGAATGTAATTTTCATCATGTGACTGAAAAAAATTCCTGATCATTTTAATTAAATTTTAAAAGTACTTATCCATTATAGCATTGCTTGAAATTTGCTTTCAAATAAATTATTTTTGTTAACTTTCTAATTTAGTTGCCAAATTATGTGATGTGAAAGATTGCTTTTTAAAACTGATTTTTCTTACACATACCAAATATGAGCTGTATTTATTCTTAAAATTTGTATTGCAGTTTATCACAAATAAAGCATAGGGTATAAGGAATGTTAAAACTAGCATGGCAGTTTACGTAATTGGCACAGCTGAATGCATGAAGCTTTTTAGATTAGTCACTTTCTATGTTACATGCATTACATAATACTGCTTGCTAACAGTAAACTGCTTTGCTTAGTTTTTAAAATATTTTAAGACTGCCTAAATTTTCGGATCTAGAAAATGAAAATTTTGAAAGTGAGTAAATTATCAGTTGGAAAGAGCTAGGGCTATAGTTTTTGGATTTTTTTTTTTTTATAGGTATGTAATTATCTTTGCTTTAAATTGATATATATGAGGCAACAATGGTTTCAATCGTTTTAGTGCTTGCTGTTATTCATTTTAATTATATATTGGATTGAAAAATACTGTAATTACATCTATTATTTGAATAGATTAAATTAAAAAACGTTTGTATTTATTTCTTCTTGAAAGGTTATGTACTAGTGTCCCCCACACACACACCTCCAGATATGGTAATTTATGACAAAATTTGGCTCTAAAGCTACATAATTTAAAAAAAAGAAAAATATTCTTAAAAATTAATTTATTCATAACCTTAAAGCAAACTTTTAGCAAAATTTGGCTAAATTATTATTATTATTTTTTTTTGAAGGGGTTTTATATTGCAAGAAGTGATACTGTGTCAGTATTCTTTTCCCCCACCCCCAGATCATCAAAGCATACCTTTTTTTAAATTCCATGCTAAAATTTTACCTAATTATCAAGCAAACATTGATACAAATTTATTTGGGTCAATAACATAAAATCTCTATTTCACACAGTAAGAAGTTAAACAGTTTAACCTCTTTGCTTCCAGCATATCATGTATGATATGCTGGAAGCAAAGAGTTTCTATCTCTGAGCCCACTGTATTTGAATTTCTGAAATGGAAAATTTTATTTGAAATTCTAAATTATTATGAATGATCTCTGAATGCTCTGCAACTAAATAGAATATCCATTAGTATTAACCTTATTCCTTTGAGTATTATGTACTGTTTTATTCCATGAATGTAGAGCATGCTTTTATACAATGTACATAGAAATGTTTCACACAATGTGGCTTAACATTTTGTATATAAATGTAAAAAGGAAATAACAGGCATGGATATTTACAATAGGATATAATAAGCACAAGTAATTAAATTCTGAAGTTTTCTTTAACTTCATTATTGTTTGGGAATAACTTAAATGCATAAATATTATATAATCATTATTACTAATGATGCATTTTAACCTATTCTTAAATTTTAATTGTAGATTTATAAATTTATTTACTATTTAATTGTAAATTTGTTATAAGATATAACATTTAATAAATATATGTAAAAATTCAGATATTTCTGTGAAAAGCAAATTTCATAGGAATTGTTTTTTTGTCAGTCTTGAATGATTGGATAAACAGTGATGTTTAGTGCTAAAAAGTTATGCACGCACTCACATTGCATTTGCAGCAAAGAGGTTAAAGACCAAAGTTAATTGGAATCATGGCTAAAGAAAAAAATGAGTTTCCAGCATACTAATGATAAATTTTAAATTAAATTGTTTTAGCCTCACAAGTAGAATTCTAATAAACGTTTTGACTAGGATAATGCAAATAGTACTTATCAAAATGATAAATGATTAACCTTTTGCATTATACTGATGGTAGACCAATACTTTTACTATAGGTGATAGGATGGACAAAATGCTTTCATATAAAGCATATTTTTAGAACAGATTTTAATTTTGCATAAGTAAGAAATATAAGTAGTTTATTGTACAAAAATGCTATCAAAATTACTTATAAGCTGTTAACTAGTAGGTAGCAACATTGCAGCTAATATTCAAAAAACTATAATAGTGAGTGTAAATTTATTTATGGCTAAAGAAGCTCTTTATTCCAGAAAGCGTAATTTTATTTATGGTTAAAGAAGCTCTTTATTCCAGAAAGCGTAATTTTTGGTGATATTTTTAATTCTTAAAAGTGCTTTCTTACTTGGTATTATTTTATGATTTATTAAAATTAATTAATGCAGTTAATGAATGTATTTTGGGGGCAAGGGTGGAGAATTCCTTAGCAATGATGCCAGTTAAAAAAATCTTAAACTACATTTATATTGAAAGGAGGTCCACGTTCTATAAATATTTTGGATAGCTGTTATATAGCATTTTTGTTAAGACTGTTTGACATTAATATTTAAAAGAATTTATTTTTTCTATAACTATGCATGTAAGTTCATAAAGCATATTTAGGTATAGACATTTTTGATATATATGTATTTTTGTATATTTTTATTCTCAGGAGATATTCTGAAATCTAGACTAGTCATAAGAATCTTTTTGCTGGAAATGTTATAGTATTTACAAAGAACACTATTGAAAAATGTTTTATATGTGATGTAAAAAGCATTGGTGGCATTCAGTATTTAATAATGTGGATTTGAAGTATTTTTAAAGGTATTTTCTTAAAAATTGTTCAGGATATAATGTATAAGTCAGCCATAGACATATTTATATCAGTTGCTTAGAATTTATTCCAAGTTGTTTTTCTGATACTCAGTCCTTTGATTTTCAACTTTCTGTTGAAAAATAAGCATTTGATTTTTCCTATTTTCAGTAAGTACTTTGTTTATCTATCTTTATTTATGTAGGAAATTTGCTTTTGGGGAGGGAAGCATAAGACTTTGTTATAAAATGATTTGCTAAAACACGTAATCTGAAATTTTTAAACTTCTTAAAATTCATTTTATTAATATTTATTGTTTGTAAGCCTAAATAATAAATATAAAAGATGATTCTTTTTTAAAGCAAATGATGTGATATTCATAGTGATGCATATTGTCACAGACAAAGCTTTATTTAGCAGGAATTATCACCACCTGTTAATGAGTCAATAACAGAAAGTGAGGTGTTTATTGTTTAAATCTGATATGTTGTTTACATCTGACTTTATATTGGGTACATATTTCAATGTGATGTGCTAATCTAGACAGGATTGTTTTACATTATGAAATTTTGGAACGACAAAAAATGAATGAAATTTTTTGTCGTTCCAAAATTTCATTAGGTGAATAATGCTGTGTCAAAACTCATTATGTGCACTATTTTTTTTAATTATTTTTCCTGCTAATGATTTTAAAATTAATTTTCATATTTAAACCTTCTGCAAAAACTAAGATTGTTTTATCATTATGAATTGAATGCTTTCCCTATTTTATTAGGGAAGGTGAAAATATTGAGTTTTTCTTTTTTGGAATTGGTGACAGTAGCACTAATCTAATCAACATCTTATTCTCATTTTTCCTCCTTCTAAAATAAAATTGTTATAAAAAATTTAACAGTTTGGCCCTAAAAAAGAAAAAGGAGAATATTTCTTTTTTGACTTAAAAAAAGAAATCTGATTCAGAATTCTTTTCTTGGAAGTTATTGGCTATTGAAATATTGAATTCATGATGCATACTGTTTTCAGATGGCTTAATCAAAGGTCAGTGGCTTATTATAAAGTTTGTATTAAACAAAGTAATGTTTTAATTGAACTGAATAAAATGTCATTTGAAATTAGAAGAATCAATAACTTTGTATTTACACTATCATTTTGTAATTGATCAGTAGTAATATTTATTTGAAAGCCAAGCAGAGAAATTGAATGATGATGTAATTTTTTAATGTAGAAAGTGTCAAAGAGATATTTTTAGTTTTATTTCCATAATATTTTATTCCAATTTGTAGTGAACGTCTAAAGAAATGTAATGGTTGCTTTTTTTAAATAATTCTTTTTTTTTTTTTTTTAATTATTATTATTATTATTTTTAACAGCTTAGTTTGATAGAATAATGTGAATGCTTTTAATGGAAGTTTTACTTTTTTTTACATTGTTAAGAAAAAAGTTATTTTTCATCCGCCTTTTTCTGTGTTAGTTGTGCCATCAATATAGTTTTAGGTTTTTTGTTTGATTAACATCTGCTAAAAACTTGAAAGTTCTGTCCAGTAATTTAAATTTGGAGCAGTAGATTCTATTATGAATCAGTGCATCATGCTAGTGCCTAGATTTATATTTGGCTAGTTGAAAATTAGAGTTGTAATAGCACTGGTTAACTGGAATAGCATCATAATGAATTACTTTTAATTTTTATAGGGTGAGCACAGAAACAGTCCTGTTTTTAAAAGGGTTTAACTGTAATACTGCCTACTCTGCTAAATTTTCTGCCATAATTAACATAAGCTTATGAAGTTTTGGTGATACTGATTTGAATCGCAAACATTTGGTGTGCACATAACTATTATGTGAGAAATAGAGATAGCGTAATTCAGCTTCAGCTGATTGTAGTGTAAACACTCTTTCTGGCTGTGGAGTCTCAATATTTGATGTTATTGTTTTCTAGTAGTGGAAATTATGCTTAGCAATTTTGAAAAGAAGAGTTTTTGGTTCATTTCATGATATATTAGAAATCTTATTTTTATGCTCACCTTGTGTATTAAATGGTTTAACTGTAATCAAAATTTAATATATATATATATAATTGAAGGAAGTACTTGCTTTATTTGCTTTTAAATCCTATATTCTTAGATATCATGTTTGTCAAACATAATTGAATTTCTGTATTATATTTTCAATCTTATTTCTAATAATATTTAATTGCATAATGTAAAAGCATATATTTACTTTTTTTAATCAAAATTATCTGTAATCATTCGAGAATTCTTCAAAATGCTAGGGGCTTTTCTTGCTTTTTTCTTTCATATGTAGAGTGTTTGTATTATTTATAGAAAACTGTCATTAACATTTTTCTTTTGTTTAAAGTCTTTCTTTTATACATACATTTGCTTTTCCTTTTTACAGAATTTATGTAAAAATTCTATTTATAAAACCTTTAAATTTTAAGTGTATAGAAATTTATAAACCAATTTGTTTGTATTCAGTAGATTTATGGCTAATTTTTTGTTGAAATTGCATTTCATATTGTTTGTTATTGGTAAATAATTACTATTGAGTTGTGTGTTTAGGTATTGCATACAGTGTTTAGATTCTGAATGTGTGTAATGCACGCAAACATTTGTGATAATCATATTTCTATATTAAGCTTTGGCTGATAAGCTTTGTGTATTTTCTCTTTGTGTAAAATAAAATAATGTGAATGTCAAAATTTTATCCTCTGTGAATTTTAGTTTGAAAGTGAATACATATTTTAGAATTAGTTTGAGTACACACAGTTTGATAAATCATGTTTGGGTTTTTCCAGTTCATTTATATGAGACATGGTTAACACTTAAATAGTGTATTTACTGTCACATACATTGTTCAAAATATTGTAATATGTGATTCTAAGTTAAAAGTGAAGTGAAGTAGACAACCATCCATGTTTTGTATGGTACAGAGTCTAAAATTTCCAATATCTGGAATGATCTAGTATATGGAATATCTGGACCATAAGAAAAAAAAGACATTCTTTTTAAAAATATTTACTTTTTCAAGAAAAAGGTATCATAAAAATAATTTTTCTCCGAACTAATAGAGATTCCTGTATGTCACTTTCAAACATTTACTGACTAGGGTAGTAGTTCGCAACCTTTTTTGCCCCACGCAACTCTTTTACCAGTGCTAGATATTCACTCTCTCCTGCCCCTTCAAAAACTTGAAAAATACATATACATTTATATAAACTCAGATTATTTTTAATGTGCTTTATAAATTTAACAAAAAAAAAGGTATAGAAAATGTGGATAAATACCAAAATTAGAATAAAAGTAGTTTTTTATATTTATAAACTAAAACGAAATACTTAACAGGTAAATGAAATGTTGACAGTATTCCCCCCTGAAATTATGAAATTCACAACTGGGCTAGGAAATAGCACCACAGCAAATGACAATATGCTGATTGACATAAGTTGTAACCCCACTTTGAGACGATGGTGGGATTAATGTTTTTCTGTCTGATCTAAACAATTAAGTCTTAAGACATATAAAATGGGATGTTGCTCATATTGTTTTTTTTTTTTTTTTTTTTTTTTTTTTTTTTCCCGGCATAGTACTGAAGAAGAGAATAAGAATTCCAAGTAATTTAAGTTCAGTTAACAGCAAATTGCTCTCTTGATTAATTGCCTGATTTGAAACTGTTATTTTGTTCCATTTGTTATTCATCTTATCAAAATTACATAATGTAAGTAAAATGATAATGCCTTTGATATACTCTTTCACTGAAACTGTACATTCTTCGATCAGCCGATCGATTTAGCAAGTTCTGAAATGCAGATACAAAGTAGCTTTTTAAAAACCAATATTATTATATATTTACATAAAAACATAAATATATTAACATAAAATTTCATATGTGATCTGCATGATCATAAAAGGACATCTCTGCATATATTTTTTTAATTGTTTGCTTAATTTATGGTGTGCTACCAAATTTCATGATGAAAGCTACGAATCTGGAAGTTTACAAATACCACAAGTAAGAAGTGAAATTTTCCAATTGATGGAATATCAGAAGAAGTGGTAAGGAAGATGATATACAGAAAATTTAGTTTTCAATGACAATGCTTTAATCATCAATCAATTAACAAAGCTGCCAATATCTGTAGTATATTTTTAAATCCAGAAAATATCACCATCTTGTCTTCGAATCTCATTTTAATTTCAGGTGACGATAATTCAGTAAAAATATTTTTTATGCAAAATGCCTGTTTCTTATATTTATAATTTCTACATGTTGTCTTAGGCTCGTGTCACACATTCATTTGTTTCATATGAACATCTGTTTCGGACGATTTTTCTGCCTGTTTTAACTATTGAAAGAAAGATGCAATTTTTTTTTCCCTTCCTTTTGAAAAAAACTGCAAGTTCTTTGTTTTCAATCAATCGGCTTTGAATGCTGTCAGCTTATTCATAATCAAGAACTAGTTTCCCGTTACATGTTAACCCCAAAGTGATGTACGGTGATTGGAAATTGTGATAAAGTAGAAAAATTGTTCCAAACAGTTGTGGAACCAAAAAAAAAAAAAAAAAGGATATGATACCAGCCTTACTGGGTCTAAGCAGATGATCTAAAATCTGGCATTGCTGAAGTCCCAGCCATCTCAGATGCATATTCACAAAGCTTACAGACCGTTTCATCTACTGTTTGCTCCGATTGGTTAAAACTGGAAACATAGGGTCACAGAATCTTGTACTTGGCGACTTTTGCTTTATCGCCTATACTATTTGTATATCAGCCTTGTGTGTGAAAGCCAACGGCGAAACCGCAGCTCAACGGTAACGAGGATAGAAAAATTTCTCAGACTTCTATATCGCCGGTTCTATCCCCGCTTGTGAACTTTTATGAACTCTGCCCTGGACGTATTTGTTTTTATCCTCACTTTATTGAACGACTTTGTCATTATTGGTCTTTTTGCCTTTGGATGTGGTGTTAAAAATTTAACACCTTCATTTTCTCTATTTTTGTTAATGCAATTTTTTCTTAGTTTTATCTACTGGTTTGTACTCTTTGTAGTAGGTACCAGTAGCAAGATTATGATCCAAGATTCCGAAAAGCTTTTCAATAGAAACAGCACATAATGGAATAAAATATAATTTTAGTTATACTTTACTCATAATTTAGGTTAAAAGAATAGGTATCTGATGCCCTTAAATGTTTATTGAATTGATTAATTGTATTGATTGTAAACACTTTTTCTTGCAAAACAATTATCGTACTTTTAACAGTTTAAATTCAAATACAAATAAACTATTAATAAGATCAGTAGGTTATTTAAAATATATTCCACACAATTCCTCTTAGCTTTCGTTCATAAAATAAAAAATTATCGAATGAAATAAAAACTTTCTCCTTGCTGTACTGAAAGCCTTGTTTCACATTAATTACCACGCGTACAACATACAGTACATAACTCGCCATTCCAAATATGACCGACAAGCAGATGTTTCATCCAATGCGAGCAGACCATAGAAGAAATGATCTGTAGGCTTTGTGAATATGCATCTCGGATCCAGTGAATGCTTTTCCACCTGAGAGATTTTGCAGGTTTTCAAGAATAAGAGCTCAGAGTCTGCTTCAAGATATAAAATATACAAACATTTTCAACAAATACAAGGGAGGAACTATTATGTTATACTCATTGTCTCATCTTAAGCTTCTAAATAAAATAACTCGAACTCAAAAGGAAATTTAAAATAAACCTTTTTATTTAATTAGCCTGATGGTTATACAACCATCAGGTCTGTGGTGGGAAAACAGAACGTTTAAATAAATTTCAAATATTAATTTACATGCAAAAGAATACCTTTATAAGCTTTGAATCTGGCTCGAAACTGTCATGAGCAATTACAGCTAGCAGAGCTAAAGCTCAAATAAGTAATATTATTGCTAGGAGAAGTACAACTGAGACAGTTAGGAATAGCTGTGAAAAACTCTCGTGAACTACAGAACTCTTTTTCTAAACACTAACTGAAATTACGTCTGGTGAGAGCAACGGAAAATAAAAGCAAAATAAGATAGCTGTCATAAAATACTACAAAAAAACTGGCCATTTATTTATTTTAAGTAGAGAAATCAAATAGTGATTTCTGCACCCACATACACTTTGAATGACTCCCTTTAATTTGGGTGGTCATTAGTTTGCAAGAAGAAAAACTAATCAAAGTTACAAATAATTGTTTGCTAATTTCAGCATATAATTACAATTAGTCTAGTGTGAAATCTTAATGAAGAATCCAAAGTAGGAGAAATGCAGGAAGTAAAATGAGACCCAGGTCTTGTAAATAAAATGGTCTTGCTAGTGAGAAGAAAGTTTCCTCACAGAGAACTGTTCTTCAAACAACTAGGATTGAAAGTGGCAAAAGGTGATGTATGCATCCAGTTGCGGATTGGCCAAAGAAATCAATCATAACCCAGCCTTTCTTGTTTATTATTGCAATCTGCTGCAAACAATTATGATGCAGTAAGTACTAAATCGAAGTTTCTAGAAATGGCTCTTAAAGAGCTTGTAGCCTCCCTAACCATATGATATTCTAGGATGTAATCTAATCCTTTAATCTGCAAATATTTCGTTACTGGCTCAGTATAATGAAATATTTTCAAATATACGTGAGCAGACAAAATTATTCTAAAAGTTGATATTTTATCGAGAATAGATTTTACCATTTGTCATATCTGTGCATTTTGTATGCCACTGGAAGATATACTTTTAAGTAAAAGTATTAATTCTACGCATATACCCTCTCTCGCAGGGCTGTCTCGCCGAGTAATCTGTGTCGATTCGATTATTCGTGTTTCTTGATCGGTCCGAAATCGCACCAACCCACCGGGCATCTGCCCGATTGCCCGCCGGCCCTATCCGCCACTGTATGCATCATACATAATCTGGACCTGGGAGAGAGCTGAAAAATTTCTCCGGTCAGGAATGTGAGCGATTGTCAGGTGATGACTATGTCAAATTATGTGTATAGGAGAGAACTGAAGAAATTCTTCCGCCAGGAAAAGTCTTGAAACTAGAGTAAATGAATTTGGATAATGTGAAACATTTTATGATTTTACAGGTCCAGTCTTAGCGAGAAAATTTATTAAAGAGGTATTTCTGAGGATGTGGATAGTCTAAGGCCTAGTCTGTATCAATAAGTTCGTATTAAAAGTTGTCAGCGTACGGTATGACGTCGTTATCTCTGGCTTTGTTGAAGAAATTTTTATTCTGTGTCTAGATATGATATGGGATCAATTTTTAGATCTCTATGAAAAATTCCTTTCTAACGAAGCAAGAGGCTCTAATGATTTTTCTCAGGTGTTTTGAAAAGACTGCAAAATTTATTGAAACCTATTTTTCTGGCAACAAGCAAGGCATGAGTGAGTGGGTCAGATGACTGCTGTGGAAATGCGCTTTTTGCGTGTGAATTGCAATGCAGAGGAGCTGACAAGGAGGCGCTAAATCTTGAAGCCATCCCAGAGGCTTTGTAAATAGAATTTTTTATGTAAGCATTAAAGATGAGAGTTTCCTTGGAGCGGACTTCCAGATAGCTTGCTGTGGCAATCGGGGAATTTTTTCATTAAACAGACTGAAATCTTGTATGATGCATTTTTTTTTTTTTTTTGACTGCAGATGAGTAAGATTTTTGATTTCTACTCAATGATTTTGGCCCTTCAGTTTGAACACCAAT